ACACTCTGAAATGTTTGTATTAGATCAGAACAGCATGCCCTTTCCAAATTTCTGGCGGAGTCAATTGCGTCATGGTACTCTTTCTCTCACAGACGGTATCTGACTGACATTACTATACTGTATAGTTGATAAAATCAAAAAGAAAGACATTCTGAACATAAAAATCTAAAATGGCGGCAATTTTGACACACACACACACACACACACACACACACACACACATATATATATATATATATATATATATATATATATCAGGTATGCTACATTTATCGGCAAAAGTACACAATATATTTATAAATGTGGATACGGAGGTCAAATTCAAGTAGCGACAGTCTGTTTCATCCTTGCAAACAATCTTTAGGCCATGTATGTTGTGTTTTGGTTCGACTATTTATATATGCTATCCAGTGGTGCATAATACATAGCAACGTCTATTGTATTAACGTCGTGGTTATTGGGTGGGCGGTAACGGTTATGTTTCAAATTTTACTAGAAGCTATTGAGTAGATATAATCATAAATTTTATAATGTCGTTTGTTAACTTATTATTAATTGATTAATTATTGTTGATTATTATTATTATTAAATTTACTTATATTTATGTATTCATTGATAGTTTGTTAATTGTTTATTATTTATTCAGTTTTAGTTATTTCTTTAGTTTAAAGTATTAGCTTTGTCGTATTATGTTAAAGTATTTGCTTTTTATAATTATGTAAAAGTATAACCCTTTGTCTAATTATGTTACCAGTACCTAGATGGGTGATTACTTAGGTGTTGTTAGCTTGCATGTACTGTAATGGATAATCCTTACAATCTAAAAAAGAAATATAACCATATCTTCTCAAACACCTTCTTCTCCTGCACTTCCCATCTGTGGAACTCCCTTCCCCTTACTTGCTTCCCCGATGACTATAATATTCAAATATTCAAGCGTAATGTCAATCGACACCTGACACTCTTAGTTTGTTCCCCGTCTTTTTCTGTATCTTTTCCTCAACCACGCCTCTTTACTCTTGTTCTAAATCCTCTTTACCCCCTTGCGTTCTAGTGGCACCCCTGTTTTCCTTGGGGTGAATTGCCTTAAAAAAAATTTTTTTTTAAATTCTGGCTTTCAATAACCTGCATAGGGTTGATAACTCGTAGAAAACAAATCAATAAAGTATGATACATTATCAGCGTTGTATACAGATTTTCTAATGGTAGCTCAGATGTAGCACAAGGCCGAATGTATGTGACACCCAGTGAGCATCGAACTCACTGCTAAGTCGTAATTGTTCTAGCCAGACAAGCTTGCTAACCATTACACCACCTCGCGGTGTACGGCGATTTTCCAAGCTTAGCTTAGATGTGGCACAAAGCCGAATGTATGGGACACCCAGTGAGGATCGCACTCACTGCTAAGTCGTCACTGTTCTAGCGAGAACAACTTGCTAACCATTACACCGCCTCGAGGTGCCCATATCACTGCTGTATATAGTGCATATATTTGCCTCTTCGTAGCGATATTTTACAAGGTATTGGCTTTTAGTCTTCGTGAATTTGGTGACATAAGAATTGTGAGTTCAATCACTGAGCCGGGCAGAGTATAAACGAATCTAGCGGAAACAGAGCAGTAAGATAAAAAAAAATAACCATTTTTTTTTTGCCATTCTGAAGATGTTTCCAACTTCCGGACTAAGGTTAAACCTGAACCGCCAAAAATTGGTATCAGCGATCGTACTACACAAACACATTCTCTGTTGTCTCAAATGCATTTCATTCGGAATTTCACTGACAAGTTAATTAGTTTTAGTTTGACCGGTGAACATTTATTTGTGATTAAAGATCAGTTGGTAATAGCTGGAACGGTTCACCCCAGGCTTCAAGAGACATAGTCTGTTGTTCATTAATGTTCAATGAGAAGCCGATAACGCATTATTAGGGAGCAATAAAAAAAAATGATATCCGAAAACAGAATATTCATTCTCTATTTAGATTTGCTTACCTGTTACTTGTCGAAACAGCTTTTCGATTTGAGGTGCAAGAAAAGCGATGAGCAAAGATACGTACAGATATTCATTATTAGTAGATACTGGATTCGGCGGAGATAAAAATTATTCTGCAACAATACGAGGCACCAGAAAAGAAGTTTAAATGTTTATTACTTATTAGGAAATAGATGTGGGCTAAAAGCGTTGGCGACATGTTTAAAAAAAAAAAAAAACAGCTGATAATGACAATGAAAAGAAAGAAATAGAAGGAAAAAATAAAGCATATAGCGTAGCGGTTATCATCGCGGTAATCGAGATTTCTATTTAATCATTTCACCCCAAGCAAGGCGATAAAGTCACTAAGACGAAATGAGGTACTGAGTGTGAAAGAATATGAAAAAAAAAAAAAAAAAAAAAGAGGAGAGAAATCACTAAAAGAACAGGACTTAAGAAGACAGAAAATAACGATTGACATTGCATTTAAATTTCTGAAGATGAAAATTGGCTAAAAGACACGAAGCCGGAAAAGAGTTCCACAAACAGTTTATCTTTTCCTTGTTTTTGACGAAGTTTTTCCATTTCTTAATACTCTGCTTAGCTTATAGAAAGCATCTTTGGCTATCATAATATATATATATATATATATATATATATATATATATATATATATAGAGAGAGAGAGAGAGAGATACATAGATAGATAGATAGATAGATAGATAGATAGATAGATAGATAGATAGATAGATAGATAGAGATTGGCAATAAACTTACTATACAGTTACTTTTGTGCTGGTGAGACGGAAAAGTACTAGGAAGAGGAAAAAGGTCAAACAATTATGTTCTTATCCCCCCCCTTCACAAAAAAGACGTATTGGGCAAAATTTCATGGGAAAATTATCTCAAGGAGAGGTGTTATAATGGAATGTCCCACACTCCCTATAGTGATATATAGTGAGCATATATATATACCTGGGGGTTTGCTTCGAGAATTACTAGCCTGCCACCCGATTTCCTGTCTTTCAGTAGTGTATTCTCTTTTACAATAAACCTTTCTTCTTTCATCTACGTGCGTGTTGCTGTTGCTTCACTCGAGTACCACACTTTGTCTGTTTGTAACCTCTTTAAGGATACAAAAGTTAATTATAATAAAAACCAAAGCATTGAATCAGTATCGGTAATTAATTTACTATTGTTTACCATATCATCTTATTGTTATTAACCAAAATTAACCAAAACTATTTTAATAATAACTTTCCAGACTGTTGATTAATTGCTTTGACGTAATTGTTATTGTAAGTAACTGTATAATGACTTTATTGCCACGCTGTATATATATTTTTAATCGAGTTCTCCCCAAGCTAGACAGTAAAGCCACTGAAACACAATGGGGTCACTGGGTGTGGGAGAATTAGCAAATAGAAACATTAATTAAAAAAGAAGAGTAATCAGGAGGAAAATAGATAGCGACTGACATTGCATTTAGATTTTTGAAGATTAAAGTTGACTGGGACGCAAGAATCCGGAAGAGTGTTCGATACGTGCGAGAGAAGAAACTATTAGCGTAGAACTTACGGTTTCATCTATCCATTTCAACTGTAAGATGATGAAACCTTGACGCTGGTCTAGCAGTACACTGAAATTCATAAAGTCTTGTTACCAAACATCTAGAAAAATTACCATGAACATATTTATAGAAAAGGCGCAGGTAAGCTATGTTACGACGGAGGGAAAGTGACAGAAATCGAGATGACACGCCAAGACGACTAATTGCAGATTCGTCTTTGGAGTTCATTTATTATCCTTAAATACATAGCAGGTGCATCCTATGTGACAGAGATATTCAAAGCACGGACGAACGGTAGACTTATAAGTGTGTAAGACAGATTATGTCAAGAAAAAAGACTAGCACGCCATTGTGAACTAACTTTTCAAGCAGAAGACCAATTGATTCAATATGATTTTTCAACTGAATTTCAACAGAAAATGTTAGACCGATTAGGTTCAATGAGTCATTTCCCTGTAGGTTAGCATCAGCCATACTCATGGAAGGTACAAAAGGCTATCACAGATGATTAATGAGCAGTTTCACAGCATCATTGTGGACATGCCATCTATCAATGTATGCACATCATTTTGTTGAACAATACATTTATGGCTTAGAAGAAATCTCATTTTATTTTATCTGGTTAACCTTTCAGTTTCCCCGCATATCCCCATAAACCATGCCTGTTACCCCCTTTGTCTGTTTGTAACTAGTCAGCTCAAGAACAATAATATTGGTGAATATTTTTGGGGCCAAGAATCTCTGAATATATAGCAAGAGCACTGTACCATATCTGGCAGTAATATTCGAAGCATGGATGAATGTTTGACTTATAGATATGTAAGATAGAATCAGGAGAGAAAAAATGTCTAACATGACACAGTGAACCAATTTTCTTAGCAGTTGTCCTAGCAATGGATTCAATATAGTCTTTCCACTTCATGTCAGCCGAGAATGTTAGCCCGAGAAGTCGCAAGGAGCCGCTCGCTTGGAGGTTAGCATCAGCCTTGCCGATCGACGGTAGAAAACACTTGGACAATAAAATTATGGATCGTTTCTCTCATAAAGTTGTTTTATTTTAAAAGTATTGGTCGACCGAAACTGTAAAATACGAAGCAATAGTTTTTAGTTATGTGGTCGACTTCTGTTTCCAACTTCTAAATATTTCCATTCATCTAACAAGTATATTTCTAAACTCATTGAGATATTGTGGACCGAAGAATTTGTATTTATCATTAAAAAAATCTTTAGTATGAGAACTCGAGACATGTTTTTAAATAGCCTCGTCTTCACACTCATTGCCAACCCTTGCTGTAGGTATTGAATTAGAAGCTACAGAACTTTTCGGGCAAGTACACTGGAACTAACTATGTGATAATACGCTAAATATCTAAGTGTGGATTTACCTAATAAAACGCAACCTAAGCAGAAATTTTAATTTGATCAAAATATCTGAACAGTTACAACTTATTACGACCGTCATGAATAGAATTAAACAATTTGCTAAACGTTTCAAATTCACCACTGCAAATTTCAGAGCTTGTCAAGTTACTCATGATAACTTCCTTTCGATTTGTCAAGCCGATGTTCAATGTCAAGCTTAGAACGAATGCCCGACCCCTGTTTCTAGATAGATAAATCCGTTAGATATTCCTTTTGCATTTGGATGATGAGAGAGCTGGGTTTGAAGCGATCAAGCACAAAGTCACCACCCTAGGGTTCAACGTTTCTCTTCGGTTGATTCAACTATGTAATCTTATCAACACAGTGGTACCAGCGATAAGCATAAAGGGAGCTCAACCCTAAGGTCCTGCGTTCGATGCTTCTAATGTGGGATTTAGCGGATTTTGATCTCTTTCTTCTGTATATTTTGATCTTTCATTTCAGTCGACATCCGGTGACATGAAAGGCTGAGTTACCGATGACAAGACTGAAACTTGCCAATCAGTTTATAAATTTACTTGTACTAATTTACTTATCCTTTATGAAACCCAAAGGAACGTTACGCACACACACACACACACACACACACACACACACACACACACACACACACACACACATATATATATATATATATATATATATATATAATACAGAAAATAAATAAGTATTGATATCTATCTATCTATCTATCTATCTATCTATCTATCTATCTTTTCATTCTTTTTTATCTATCTCATCCGCTTTATATCTATTTCATTCTCTTTTTATCTATCTATCTATCTATCTATCTATCTATCTATCTATCTATCTACTTCCTTTTAATCTATATATCTATCTTATTTTCTTTTATCTATCTATCGATCTATCTCATTCTCTTTTTAGCTATCTCCTTCTCTTTTTACCTATCTATCTATCTATCTATCTATCTATCTATCTATCTATCTATCTATCTATGTTTTCATTCTTTTTTATCTATCTCATCCGCTTTATATCTATTTCATTCTCTTTTTATCTATCTATCTATCTATCTATCTATCTATCTATCTATCTATCTATCTATCTATCTACTTCCTTTTAATCTATATATCTATCTTATTTTCTTTTATCTATCTATCGATCTATCTCATTCTCTTTTAGCTATCTCCTTCTTTTTTTACCTATCTATCTATCTATCTATCTATCTATCTATCTATCTATCTATCTTTTCATTCTTTTTTATCTATCTCATCCGCTTTATATCTATTTCATTCTCTTTTTATCTATCTATCTATCTATCTATCTATCTATCTATCTATCTATCTATCTATCTACTTCCTTTTAATCTATATATCTATCTTATTTTCTTTTATCTATCTATCGATCTATCTCATTCTCTTTTTAGCTATCTCCTTCTCTTTTTATCTATCTATCTATCTATCTATCTATCTATCTATCTTATTTTCTTTTTATTCATCCATCCATCAATTTATGTATCTATCGAAATAAATTTTATCTAATTCTATCCTTCTCACTGTGTTCATATCTAGTCTATTCCTCTTTCGCTTATTCTCTCTGTCTTTGCTTGTCTTTCATTCTCTCTCTCTCTCTCTCTCTCTCTCTCTATCTATCTATCTATCTATCTATCTCTCACTCTCTTCTATGGATTCTCTTCGAACCAAACAACCAGATTCCTACAAACATTTAATTTGATTATAGTGTTGAAGGAATGGCCAGAAGTCTATAGATTTTTCAAAATAACTGAATACAGAGAACTCGTGCACACTGTGTGAAACAAGATCATCCTCTGGTTTCACGTGTGTGTGTGTAAGGCATACATTTGATAGTGGAATATCTCTGCCTATAAAGCATATCGACACCAATATATATATATATATATATATATATATATATATATATATATATGGGTGATATGCAATCTTTAAATTGATAAGGAATATCACTGCCTATAAAAGCATAGCAACACAAATAGAGATATTTCATTATAAATTTGGAGATTACATATCACTTACACACACACGCGCACACACACACACACGCACACACACGCACACACACACACACACACACATATATATATATATATATATATATATATATATATATATATGCGTGTGTGTGATAATATATATAAGTGAAAGAAATTATTAGGAGGATTTGAAATAATCAGAATTAAGTAATTCATCGAGTCTAGAAGAAACCTCAACAGAATGCAGAAAGCAGTGGACGGCCGTTTCGTCCTATATTTGGGACTCATCAGCAGTGCGCATCCACTACCGGGAATTGAAACCCGGACAGTTATGTTATCAGGCGAATATCATACGAAGAGGTAATGAATTAGATTCGATATAGCCCCGCTCTTCACAAATTCCGTCGGGTAACTCATCCGGGTTTCCAAAGGACAGTGACCCCACAAGCCACGACTACTATCCCCAAGCCTGTGATTCCAGAGCATTAAAAGCCGGTTCAAGCAAGGTTATACAAGTGAAAGAAATTATTAGGAGGATTTGAAATAATCATAATTAAGTAATTCATCGAGTCTGGAAGAATCCTCAACAGAATGCAGACCCCTAGACTCGAGGAATTACTTATATATATATATATATATATATATATATATATATATATATATATATATATATATTGAACAATAAAAAAAATATTAAAAAATTAAAATCTTCAGACACAATGGGTTGTAGATTAATATTCTTTCGTTTTTTTTATTATTATTTCATTTAGATTCCTCGACTAGTTTCGACCAAAATGGCCATCATCAGGAGAAGAAATATTTCTGCTTGCTGGTAGCAGTAAACTACAGAAATGAATGTCTTGATGGAGAAAATGAACTTTTGTCTGTAGTTTCCATTTGTTTTGTTTTTTTTGTTTTTTTATCTTTTTAACATGAATCTTTTAACATTCCTTGTGTTGGTCAAACAGTCTCTTTTAAGTTGTTATTTGAGATAAGAGCTGGGTAGATACATGTTGCTCTGAATTCTCTGGTCAGTTTGACAGTTTTATTGGACCTGGTGAGGGGATGTGTATCTGTTTAGTGTTTGCGTGTGTGTTATTTGGTTCTTAGGGAGTGAGTGAGTATGATATGTGTAAGCGTGTGTATTGCTGTAGGTGTGTGTTATCATTTGGCTCATTAGGGAGTGAGTGAGTATGATGTGTGTAAGTGTGTATATTCGTGTGGGTGTGTGTATAAGTGTGAGGCCTCCACACCTCCGTAAGCATGTCTGTCCTGTGTGGGTGAGAAATGTGGGTAGGTTTTAATTTGTTATGAGAAATGTGGGTAGGTTTTGATATATATATATATATGTGTGTGTTTGTGTGTGTGATAAAATATTGTTTTAAGGTATTGTATATATATGGGTTTAAGTGTTCAGGGAAAAAGCGTATGTAAATATAAATAACTCTTGTACAGTAAAAAGCTACAGATGTCAGAGACAAAAATTATCCAAACAGACTTGGCGCAAAATATATTTTTCTTTATATTTTTTTTTATCTTTATTAAATTGCAATGCGATAAAAAGTGCAAATCATTTCTTTTGTAATAGAAAATATTTTAAATCTACAAAATGGCGTGAGTGGGTCCATGAATTAGTTTTTATATCCCAACCAAATTGGTTTTTCGTTTCTAACTTTGTTTTCCGTTTACTTTTCTTCGTCATTTTTCTTCTGAACAGAATATCTTTATGACACTTGTTATAGAAATGTTCTAATTCAGATGTGTCATTTATTTTATTCGACACCTCATTTAACTTGTTGATAGCTATGTATTTCAAGCATTAAATTGAAAGTACATCACTCAAAGACTATTTACAGTTAGAATTTTATCCACTTGTTAACTAGATCTATTCGAACGAACTAGGAAACTGATCACACGGTCAAAGTATGTCTACAATATAGATATTGTATGTCTACAATATAACTGATCACGCGCTCACAGTATGTCTACAATATAGATTTAGTATGACTACAATATAACTGATTCACTGTATGTCTACAATATAGACATAGTATGTCTACATTTTAAATGATCACACGATCATAGTATGTCTACAATAAACCCTTCAATGAAATAGGAAAAGAAAAAGAGTTTGAAACAAAGTATACTGTCACATCAAAAAAATGATTGATTCGTCAATTTTTTTTACGGCTTATCAACCTTTTGCTGGTTATTTATAGGCGAAATATATTTTTGGATTGCAAGATTTTTTTTTTTTTTGGAGAGAATTACAAATTCTTCGGCTCACAATATCTCAATTAGTTTGGAAATATACTTGATAAATAAATATTGAGCTGTTGGAAACAGATGTCGACTCCATAGATAAAAAAAAATATTGCTTCGTATTTTACAGTTTCGGTCGACCAATACTTCTAAAATAAAACAACTTTGTGAGAGAAACGATCAATAATTTTATTGTCCAAGTGTTGATAACAGACACGGAAAGGGAAATACAAAAAAAAAAAAAACCTCTGCAGAAAGTAGTAAAGGAAAGCAAGAAGAAAGGACTAAGCACCAATTACAAGAAAACAGACAGCTGTCATTAGAATGAACAAACAGCCTTACATGCAAATTACAAATATCAAAATAAAGTAACGACGACAATTTAAATATCTGGGAAATTTTTTTTAATACAAGATGGAAAATGTCACACCGAAGTCCGAAGGTGTATTGAGATAGCGAAAGATGCCTTACAGAAGCTAAGCTACGCATTAAGGAACAAAGAAGATAGTACCTCACTGTTATGTAATATCGATGCTACAATATGTTAGTGAATGATAGAAAATCTTCTCAAAGATGAAAAAGAAACTTGATGTAGCAAAAATGCGGCTCTGCAGAAGGATGCTGAGAATAACATGTACCGAACGTTGAGCAACGACGAAATTTTAGAGAAAGTTGAAACAAAAGGGACACTAATGCTTAACATCACAATTAGATAGTTGAAATTTCTAGAACATATAATGAGGAAAGAGGGATCGGAAAATCGGATACTCACAGGACAGATGATGGCAGAAGGGATAGGGTAACAACGCATACTCTATCTTAAGAGGTTAAGTAAATGTCATGAACGATGTAAGTCCTGACATGTCGTCAAATGAACCAACACTGTCCTCTTATATGACAATAAAATTATTATTTCCTTGACTTGAAGCAACAGAAATATGGTTCTACAGAAAGATGCTGAGGATACCATGGACCGAACATGTGAGCAACGACGAGGTTTTAAAGAAAGTAGAAACAAAAAAAGGACACTTATGCTTAACATCAGGAAGAGGAAGCTATTTCTGGGGCACGTAATGAGAAAAGAGGGCTTGGAAAATCGGATACTCACAAGACAGGTTAAAGACAGAAAAAACAACACATAAACTACCCCGCAGGCCTAAGTAAATGAATGACATGAATGTTGTAACTCTTGATAACCCTTCAAATATACCAGCCCAGTCCTCCTATATGGCAATGAATGCTGGACAATTTTCTTGTAAATGACGTCGATATCAGAAGTAGCAGAAATGTGGTTCTACAGAAGGATGCTCAGGATGGACTGAACCTGCGAGCAACGATGGAGTTTTAGAGAAAATGGAAACAAAATATCACTTATACTTTACATCAGGATGGGCCAGTTGAAATTTCTAAGGGCACATAATGAGGAAAGAGGGTTTGGAAAATTCGATACTCAGAAGACATATTAAAGGCAAGAGGAACAGATGAAAAAAAACGCATAACTAGCTTAGTGAGATTAAGTAAGTGGATGTTGGATCAAGATATAGGAGAGATGAAAAAAAAGTAAATGTTTGTTAAGAGCCACAAATAACAGGAAAATGCGGAGAGCCACGATCGCTAACGCCCTGAAGGAACAAGGTACATATAATAATAATAATAATAATAATGGTACATTGATCCTAAAGCCTGCTGTAGCAACAACTGGGGTATATAAACTTATCAAATCAACGACAAATATTAAGAGACGACAATGCACAAGTTTTCGAAGCAAATATTTACTTAATTCTAATTGTTTGCGCGCGTTAATTTAATTTATATTGCATACCTCCATAAGGAATTTTCACGTTAAATTTTTTCCGTTTCCCCGAAAAGAAAAACTTTATACAGTTAGTCAAGAACGCCATAACTTTCTAGTTTGCCAAATTATATCAGCTCTTGGCAATTCTTCGCTAACAAATAATCAGATATTGATAAAATATAAAAAAAAAGAAGCAAAAAAGAAATCCAACACGCAAATGTAAGTAAATTTACCAACATCCATTTTCCCCCATACTTACGTCTCTATTTTTATTTAAATCTGTACGTAATTTTTTCTGTAAAAATAAGTCCTAAATTTAATACTGTGGAAGCATATTTCCTGTGAGATATATTACACCATATTAAAGTGTTTTTTGTTTGTTTTGTTTTGTTTTTACGTTTTGCGTCGTCATAAAAATAAAGTAGGCTTCAACATCGAATTCCTGTGTAAATTTATAGATGGGAAATTCGTCGGCCATTAAGGTAATCTTCGTTCATCCAAAAATTTTGTAATTATTTATTCGTTTTTTTTTTTTTATCGTTTTCTAATTGCAGCCATCTTAATAAATTGAACACATTTCAGAAAAAAATTCAGCTTTTTACTTATATTCCGTCTTCTCTTCCAAAAGAAAAATATCTCAGTAAATGACCGAATTTGAACCGATGCGATATTCTCGTTGCAGAATTCAGTACAGTATATGAAAAATAATTCATATATTAAGGAGTCGACCGTAGTCGGGATCACCCTTCAATGCGAAAGATACTTCCGTTAGCTGTATAGTATTTTCTTCGGCAGGACTATATTTAGTCGTCCCCCCACGAGGGCGTCATGTGGCACACGGCCTTTTTAACGTGGGCATTTCCGAGCCATTAGACTCGGCCAAAAAATAGCCCAATTTGAACCTGTATAAACGGGTTCAGGGCCGGTTTTACGTCCCCGAAGGAGACTCCGCCCTTCGGCGTAGCCTCCTTCGGGTTCCTCCCGCCCGTAGGAAGAGAGTTGAAACGTCGCTCAGAAAGTGTCTTCGGCAGGACTACATACAGTTTGGAATTCAGAGAATTCTTTCCCCATAGATCGGTTGCCAGCCACGTTTATAGAACCCAGTCTGTCTAACTATTTATCTATAGCTGGAGGGAAAAGAGTTGGGTTCATACCTTTCCCATATACAAAGATTTTGGATTTACTCTAATTATACATGTAAAATACGTGTAAAATACTCCCCACACGATTTGAAACCAGAGATTTAGGTCGCGTACGAAACACGCGACTTAGGCATTAATTTCTTTCAGGCTACGAGAATACTGAGGAGGCCATTTGAGTAACAACGAAGAAAATGGGAACAAAAAAATTAAACTCGTCATACGAGCTACTTTCGCTAGTTCCCAGACTACATGAATCACGGGTCCACCCATTCACTGTCGAAACGATTAAATGTAGCCGTCTCTTCTACTCCAATAGCGTCATGTCTCGCACCTCCCGTCTGTGGAATTCCCTTCCGACTACTTGTTTCCCTATAATCTCCAACTAATCAAATGTAATGTCAATCGACATCTCCAGATGCCCTGACCTATTCCCTGTCCTTCTCCTCTTCATCCTTTCCTCCATCACGCCTCTTTACTCCCACTCTGTAAGCCCTGCGCATTAGTGGTATCCCGCCTTACTTGGGGTGAAATGATTATATATATATATATATATATATATATATGTATTGTTTAAAATTTGGAGTATTCATGGAAAAAGAGAGATTTGTAGATGTAGATTGATGACTGCATTCACTCTCTCTCTCTCTCTCTCTCTCTCTCTCTCTCTATATATATATATATATATATATATATATATATATATATATATATATATATATATATGCATGTATGTATGTATAAAGAAATATACATAATGTCTTAGATTAATGCCGCAACTCCGAGTTTCATTCCGAAGCAATTTTAAAGTGCTTAAATTATATTTATTTTTATTGATATTTTCTGTTGGCACCGTTTTTTTTTTGTTTTTTTTATTATTATTTTCTGGTTCACGCAAGATACATTATTGTTGGGTGAAATATTCCTGGAGAAAAAATATTTCAATAAATTGTAGTTTAATTTTAAAATTGAATTTATTGTTGAAAAATTGTGTGTGAGTGTGTCTGTAGATAAATCAATGAGGCGTACGTTTAAATTATTACTTTTATCTTCAGTGTATCTCGATGTAAAATTGTAAACGGCGACTGATGTTTTATACACGACTATATATATATATATATATATATATATATATATATATATATATATATATATATATAATTATTGGACATTACAATAATATATATATATATATATATATATATATATATATATATATATATATATATATGGTATATATATATATATATATATTGTGTATATTTAGTCAGCAATTCTTCATTGATGCATATTGCATTAAATAATATAGACAAGTTTTATGTAAGCCGAAAGATTAGATTGAATTTAAACGTGTATCGATATGGTGATTTCGTTTCGTCAGACAATAAGAAAGGAACTTACTGAAAATAAATAGACAAAACTTGTCTATATTATTTAATGAAACATGCGTCAATATATATATATATATATATATATATATATATATATATATATATATATATATATATAGGCTTTTACTGGATTAAATAATTTTATATGTTTATGTTAAATTTGTAATCTGTAGGGAACAATTACATGCTTTTTCTAATTATTCTTGATTACACATCATTTCTCTTATAAATGCCCAGTTTTTAGTTTGGCACTTTTTTTTTCTTTAGGGCTTTTCTTCCTCTGTCTCATCTATTTTTCTCTCACCCTTGTTTCCCACTCCCACCCATACACTATTACTGAAATTTTGCTTTTTATACCCACAGTTATTTTCCGATTTCTTTTTGAATTTGTACGGCTGATGAATTGGATCGTGATTATGATTCGAATGTACTAAATTATACCCACGGAATAATAGTGTTTGAGGCATTTATATTATATATATATATATATATATATATATATATATATATATATATATATATATATATATATATATATATGAATTCATTCATTCAAAAAACAAATATAGAGGTTAATTATTTAAATGGCGAGAATACATCTTCGCAAACAATATCAATAAGATACACTAACCCCGAACCTGTATATGAATGATATGATCCCTGATTATAAATTCCAGTTGCATAAGATCTTTTTAATTTTTTACAAGCTTTCGTCTGTTCCTACAGACATCATCAGGTATGGAAATAGATTTTGTTCTTGTTTTTACTTCTCAGTAATAAGAAGACAACCAAAATATAGATGCAATCCGAAAAAATGCTCTGAGAAACATGTTATTGTTTTGGAACGTGCAGTCACAACGCTGAGTTTGAATTTAAATTTTAAGGTTGTGCGTTATATATATATATATATATATATATATATATATATATATATATATTTATGTGTGTGTGTGTGTATTTAGGTTATAATATATATATATATATAGATATATTTAATTAGGTTACAATAATATATATATATATATATATATATATATATATATATATATATATAACCTAATTATGTCCAATAATGAATTATATGCAATAGAGGCAAGCAATTCAACAAGAAAATTTGAAAATAAATACAATGTATCTAAATACAGAGAGACATGTTACAAGAGATCATTCCATTTTAAATTAATCAACAATGTTTCGATGCTATTTTTGACATCGGCTGGGGAGTTTTCTTGTTAAAACGCTGAATAATTTTAACAGATTCAACGTTATGGATAAAAAAAATAACTTTATAAAGTGTTTTTACCGAAACTTAACATGACCAAAAGAAATTCACGGATTTAGACGAAAAAAAAAAAGACCCCAGAATAACGACAAAAAAATTCAACCTTTAATTGAAAAGTTGTGAATTTTCAACGTATATAATATAGATCGGTAGAATAGAGGAAATGATCATAAGATTACGAGGGCCACAAATTACTGCCTGTGACTCCCTAATCACGATTGGACTCCCCCCCCGGAGGAGAGTCGATCGTAGTACGCACCGGCCATATATATATATATATATATATATATATAGAAATACACGACTAGTGAGTTTGCGTCGGTTGACTCAGCGTTCAATCTGTTCAACTGTTCCCCAAGTCCTTCTCTCCTACTAATCTTATAGTAGGCGGAAGAGTCCAACATAGACTCTTTAGAGCGAGGACACCACTATATATATATATATATATATATATATATATATATAGAGAGAGAGAGAGAGAGAGAGATAGATATTTGATAATATTAGTGGTAAATATACACATACATATGCAATCATATATTTAAAATATAAAAAAAAAATATAAATATATATACATACATGCATCCATACACATACATATATATTTGTATAAAAAATATTTCCAAGAGGATAGAATCCAGGTAGAACTCAATGTCCAGGACAGAGTAAGGATATAATAAAAAGGCTTAAACACTAATATTCCATGGTCATAATTTATTCCATTGGAATCGTAAATACGATCCAATTCATCAGACCTACAAATACAATTTGTTTTTGAATTTGTAGGTCTGTTGAATTGGATCGTATTTACGATTCCAATGGAATAAATTATGACCATGAAATATTAGTGTTTAAGCCTTTTTATATATATATATATATATATATATATATATATATATATATAGCGAGAGAGAGAGAGAGAGAGAGAGAAGTATATGTGTGTGTGTGTGTCTGATGGAACGAGAGATATGCAGAAATTCAAATGCAGATGGAAAACAAGTCAACGGATTAATTCAGCACGTAAAAATATCTTTTGAGACAATGGCCACAGTTTACGTTTTATAATTTTGTGTTTCTTCCGATAGTGATGGACAAACAGAAGATACTACTACTCGTCGTCACACGCAGATACACACAAGAAAAATGTTCGGGTAAATACAGGCATTAAATATTCTGGAAATCCATGAACGGACAACGACAAAGTGTATGTCAATTTTTTTTTTTTTTTTTTGGATATTTTGGTTTGGTTTTCAGCTTTTATTATTATTATTATTATTATTATTATTATTATTATTATTATTATTACTGTTAGTTATTTCTCAACTTTGCAAATAAATGAAAAGACTAAATGCTCAAAACAAGCCTATTTTTTTTTTTTTGATTTTCAACAACGAAAAATAATTGGCCAATCCAGAGTTGGACGGTTTTGAACAAACACGTCAAATTCGTTTTCACATGGAATTTCAAGATTCAGGCGTTTGGAGTTTTTTTTTTTCCTGCAATATTTTCATTGTTTCAATTTGCGTCTCGTATAGATTTTTTTTTATTCCGTTTTTTTCTCGTTACTCGGAGAAAAATGTTAATCTAAATAGTTCATCCGAGTCTTTATCAGTCTTTCAAAACATATTCCCCTCTCTCTCTCTCTCTCTCTCTCTCTCTCTCTATATATATATATATATATATATATATATATATATATATATATACCTTCTCTCATATGTATCTATCTCATGTTGTCCATAATCTATCTATCTATGTCTGTCTGTTCTTATCTATCTATCTATCTATCTATCTATCTATCTATCTATCTATCTATCTATCTATCGCCGATAATCGATTATGAAAATGGAAAAAAGCCTAACGCATTTTGTCCCTAGAATTAACTTATACAGTCTCATATAGGTTTATTCGATGGAACCAGACTTACACACACACACGCACACACACACACACATGTGTATGTATGTGTGTGTGTGTGTGTGCGTGTGTGTGTGTGTGTATGTATAATACAAGCTTGAACCTGGACTGGCGTTGAAATTCGAAGAAACCCAAATAGCTATCGTTTTATTTCTTATTCTGTATTTTACTCTCTCACACACACACACACACACACACACACACACACACACACACACATGAAAACACACACGCACACACACGCACACATCTATCTATCTATCTATCTATCTATATATATATATATATATATATATATATATATAGAGAGAGAGAGAGAGAGAGAGAGAGAGACAGCGACAGACAGACAGACAGAAACAGAGAGAGGAGGCAAAACGAGAGAGTGTGTGGAGTAATGTCGGTAACAATTTTACATCTATGTTTGTCAATGTTTTTCCTAATCAGCCAATTCCATTTATCTGCCTCTCGGCTTCTCCATAACAATTTACCGAACTGTCTGTCCAAACGACATTAACAGAAATGTCGATATTTCTCCATATTTATTATTCTTGTGCTTTTGGCATTTTCATATCTTGCAAAAAGACGCAACATTTGTGGAAAGTCTTTATCGAATAACGACATCATTCGTTTCATATTCTCTCCTCGAAGTCGGCCATTAAAACGTTAACTAAACTTCATTCAAAAGCAGCTGATTCGAAACCATTTTTCTTTTTCTCAATATTCTACCCACAGGAGAGGCACATTCTCAAACTTTCTCGTATCTTTTTTTAATCTATTTAAAATCAAATATTTTAAAACAGAAGTTGCGTACTTAGTCTGTTCATTATAGGACGTAGGCATTTTGTGGTTATTCACATCTTCATATTGTCTATCGCTTACTAATATTGGTCTATTTCCCATCATGTTCCGTCATCCATGTTGTTGAGGTAAGTTAATATATATGACAATTTGTAGATGTCTGTTTGTTAACATGACGTCACGATTTATATTTAGCGTAAAATACCACAAAATATGAAACAACAAAATGGTTTTATGACAACAAGATTTATATTTATTTTTTGTGTAATGATGTACATTGTTATGGTCGGGTTCCTTGTACCACGGTGATAGTCCAAGGTAGAACCAATAAAGAAGAACTCGAACACGGATATGGAATAACACAGATATATTACAAACAGGAATATATACAGAGAAGAAGAAAATTGTTAGTACGAACAATCAGGTTTAGTAGAGAGAACAATGTAGTCTCGACCAGTATCATTATTCCAATGTCTTGTAGTAATTGTCTGAACGCCACTCTGTTTCGGACTGCCTCTGATTCGACTGACTGACGCGCTCGCTCTGACTGACTGACAGACTTCTGATGGACCTCACTCCAGACTTCAGACTGAACAGTATTTAGTCCCCCCCCCCAACGAGGGTATCATGTGGCACAAGGCCGGTTTAACGTGGGATCTCCGAGCCCGTGGGCTCGGCCCAAAATATGCCCTTTGAACCCGTATAAACGTACGTGCATGCGTAAATATGTTTTAAAAGCGTCTGACCAAACATGGTGAAGACGCGAATCATTTAAGGTTACATTTTTGTAGCAAAAGAGAAAGAATAAGTTTGTGCATGGTATTGATAATTAATGTAATCACGTGATAGGCCCCTAGAAAAATAGCGGGACAACTTGACATGCACTCGCGCTGGACAAAAAAATGTGTACATGGGTGGATTGCAACGCCCACTTGTGTGTTTATTGACCAATTAAAAGCTGATATTCCCTGGAAATATGTATGAAGCTGGGTAAGCTCTTTGATCCACTTTTTGCACAGATTTGTACAAAATTCAACATTGATAAGAAAGTGGTAGCGGGATGCTAAACATTCAGAAATGCTCGTCAGGTAATTGGCCCGCTCTCATTTCCTACTCTTTTTCGCCTTTGCTATGCCCGATTATCGTCAAATTCTCCAAGACTTCTTTCTTTATTATGCATCCAAGAATTTCCAGATGTCTCTTTCATATTCTGAGCATATGTGTCCTTTACGTTTATATTTTCTCTGAAACTTCGTCGTTGCTCACATGTTCAGTTCATGGTATTCTCAGCATCCTTCTGTAGAACAACTTTTCTGTTGCCTCCTTTTCCTCTGTGAGCATTCACTGATACATAGAAGGAACGATATTACACAGCATTTTCGCAATCTTTATTTTTATTTTTTGATTTCTAACGTCTTTTTCCTTTTTTTTTTTTGGTATTTTGCTTAGCTTTTGAAAGGCATCTTTCGTTATCCTAATTCAGATTTCACACTTGAAATCATACTTGTTACACGTCGCAGATGTTTAAACTTTCAGACAACCATTTAGGATTTAGTTTTTTTTTTACTCTTTGCACACTAAAAACATTCGAATATTGTCTTCTTTTTTTTTTTACATGTATACAAATGCATTATTACGGTTAATATATACACGAATATATTTATATGAAAGACAGTTCCCAATCTGAAATTCTTTTGAAAGGCATTTCGCATTTAAAAGTTTTTGAAAGATTGTTCGGAATCTAATGTTTTAAAACACATCTGTTATACGGGTTTTTTAAAAGGAGCAAATACAATCGAGATATTACAGGTGGAGCGTTACTTAAAAAAGAATTGCCCAGCATTCACTTCCATATGGGAGGACCGATATTATATAGCATTTCAATAATCTTTTCTTTGTGTTGTAATTGTAATTACGGTTCATGTTGTTTTTGTTTCTGTAATTGTTGATCTTGTTGTAGTTTTGTTGCTGCAACTGTTGTTCTTGTTGTTACTTTTGTAGCGACAACGTTTGAATCATGTTTTTTAGTTCTTCCATTTTGCTGTACTCTGCTTAATATTTTATAGATTCATTTTTGAATAACTTCACCTGGTTATTTCTCTGTAGTCCTGCAAATATGACGCCTTTTGGAGAAGTGGTAAATATTACTGAATATCCTACTGCGACGTGTAGGATACGTATATTTTTTTTTTCCTCGAGTAAATTCAATGAATACTCGTCGCCATTTTTGTTATGTCCGTTTGTAGGAGGGACTTTGTAAACTACAGATACAACAATAGTAACGTCATCGAACAATACTCGGTCAGACGCCGCTAATTCCTGTATATATATATATATTTAAAGATATTTTTGTAGGTACAAAATTTAATGATCGAAATAAAAGTATAAAATTTAATATTACAAGACATATTAAAAAGTATTAAATAATAAAAAAAACAAAAAAAACCAAACTCAACAACAAGGGGGGGAAGTAACCACTTTCTCCCGCTCGTCAGGCTTCCACGGGAGATTGAAAATTAAAACAGAGAAATGTACAGTAAGAACAGGAGGGAAAAAAAAAAAAACACACACATATATATATATATATATATATATGTTCGTATATATGCAAGAAGGAACTAGAGGCAGATGACAAATAGAGTCCCAGCAAACACTCACGTTATTTGCACAAAAGAAGGCTTGTAGACCCGATGTAAAGTGTCTCCAGAACCTTCAGATGAAATACTGATGACTTACGCCAACACGGTGAACCAGTCGACACTAAATTTGGCGGCACAATCTCTGCTATTTAAAAGGTGTTCGCATATGGCGGAACTGTAGGTGTTCAGGACAAGTCCACTCGCAGGCAGGGTGTGGTTCCTAATTTTAGTAGGAACGTGTTTATTTTATTCTAGTGTCTAAGCGCTGAGTCGTTCTCCCTATGTATTGGCTCTGCAACTACAAACGTATTTTACAATAGAATTATATATATATATATATATATATATATATATATATATATATATTTTTAGTTTATGCAAAACTAGGTAATCCGCATGGGTAGACCCAAGGAGGATGATATCCAGAGAGCTCAATGTAAATTCAGAGCAGATATGTTTGAATAAAAACAGACCACTTTAAGGTTCCATGTAATAAGTTATTTCACCACAACCCATTTTACAGGGCTCTGGATCATCAGACTTTACTTCCAAAGGTTGAAATGAAAATGAAAAAGAAATTCACACGTTTTTGACGGACCGCATCAAGCATATGTAAAATTAACGAAGTGAGGAAGTGGGGTGGGAGAGAAGATACGAGTGGGTTAGATGTACCATTTCAATTCCTTATTCTTAACCCCACTGTGTGTCGGTTATACGTCGCTTAAACTTAACGCATGTTATCTCTAGATATAGATGGGTAAGGGGTGAGGGAGAAGACCGACATTAAAGGAAGAAGCTACA